CCCCCCCCCCTCGCTATGGGTCATGCCTACGCAAAACCTTGCCGAGGCAGTGAGGGGAAGAAAGGAAACTTACCGGGTTGCGTATCTGAGGAGCTTTGTCGAATCGAACGATCCGTGGCGAGTCTTCGTTGTACAGGGCCGTACTCGACGAAAGTCAAGCGCTCCTCTTCCATTCTACTCAGCGAGTCGCAAGCCCATTCTTGGGTGACGCGCTGTTGCTTTGAAATTGGTTCGCAGAGGAGACGCTGCCGGCAGTAGGAGGGGAATGTAACGTGTGATGTATTGGATCTATTCATGGCCTTTGATTCATATGGAGGATTTTCCTTTCGGTGCCCCTTGCTCCATCCCGCTTCGCCGTGAAGCATCAACATCGGAAACTGAAGCGTCTCGTATGCAGAACTCCAGAGCGGGAGAAATCTGGGTTTATCGTCCGGACTTTTTCTTGGATATGTGACGACTGTTCGGGGGGCGGGGTTTTCTGCGTTTGAGGTGTAAACTAAAGCAGCAATTTCTGGAGGTGATGCATCGTCGCCAATGACTGGTCCATCGTTGGCGCGACGGGCTTGGGCAAATTCTATGAATGGAGTTGTGTCACTGTCGGCGGAGACTTGACTGATTATACCCACTCCCGAACGGTACTGCTGTGCCCACGATATATTGTTGTTGACGTGATTGCGCAATGTATTCGCGATTATATTGTCAAGGTGTAACGATGCTGATTGAGAATTGAATTCTGAGTCGTAGATATAGAAACGTGCGTTGTTTGAGGCGTTCATGTCGGTATATTGCGGTTGCAAATCAAATATTCTATGGTAAGCTCTTCCGTGCAGCGTCAACATGGACGGAGCCGGAGGTCCAGTCCAAGTTCGTGTTTCAATACCCCCTGCGCCGCAAACTAACCGTTGTATCGTCTTTGTCCTGCACGAAATCTGGCGAAACTCAATATAGACATGAGGTTTGGGGGACGAGGTCGAAGACGCGGCATGGCAAATCTGCCTTGGTTACAACAGTTATACGTGTTTTCTTCCTTCCACAGATTTGCGTCGCAGTGTTTGCACACGTGGTTGTCGTCGTGTTCGAGGTTGGAGTACTTGCACTCGCGCTGTAGTCGGCACGGGTAGGCATAAAGTTGATAGATTAGAGGTGTTCCGAATCAACTCGGTGAAAAAATTGGGTTTAATTGTTTGAAGGAGTTGCACTTGTCCTGTTGGTCGACGTTATAGGGAAGGATTGAAGTTGATGACTTTGAGGGGTTTCGAGACAGACGGGATAAAAAATTCTCTGATGGCACCTCCCAAAAGAGTTGTGCATACCCTACAACGCAAGTGGAAAACACAAACCCCAACGATGTCGCCGCTGGCGAGCGTGGCGTTCTTGTACTTTTGTCCGTCTGAGGTCTTTGCTCCGGCGCAGAGCGTCCACACGGCATGGAAATCAAGCCACTCTGTATGAAGGTCGCAGAACATCGCTGCCAATCTGAGCAAAATATGTAGTACAAGGGGTCCAGCGGCGGGGGGCTTCGCCCCCCCGCGCCTAGTTGTCAGGCACAGAAAGGCGCCTCAAAGAATCGGTNCCCCCCCCCGCCTAGTTGTCAGGCACAGAAAGGCGCCTCAAAGAATAGGTGAAAGCACAGGCTGAGATTACATACCAAGTGGAATAGTGTTTAGGCGACGGAGATGAAGGCTCAGCATGAGTCGTTCAGCGCACAGAGGCGTGCATGGAAGAAGTAGCAGGGTAGACGCAATATCAGTCTGTCTGCGTGGCTCCCCTTCGATCGGCACCAAGACGGACGAGGAACAGAACGGTTACCCGGGTGAGTGGAGGTCTTTCAGTGTGTACTCCTTCGTCGCCGCCGGTGTAGCCGTCATTTTTTAGTTGTTGCTCTGAACGTGTTACTTCGTTTTCGGCGCAATACGACGTATTTCATCCTCGGCGAGATTTTTTTTTTTCTGTGTCACTCATTACGTTACTTTTCGCAAGGTAAGTATTTTCAGCTAAGCTAAATCTCCGTAGATCTTGACTCTAAAACTTAGTGATTTGAATGCTGCTCTCTCGTGCGCCGAGAGCACTTTTTCGACGGCTTCGAGCCTTTAGGGACGCTTTTCGCTCGGACTTTTTCGTCTGTCCGCAGCCCTGCGCGGTGCCGAATTTTCCCGCGCGCCCTGACCTCTACGCGAGGCCGAGCGGCAGCGTGCCAGCGCTGTCTCACACGAGCTCAACGCTGTCTCCGCACGGCTCAACTTCATCGACCAATCAGGAATTCCAATCTTTTTTTGACTTACGTACAGTATAGGCCGTCAACTCAATCACCGAGGGTCCCTTCGGCAACATTCTGAGTGTACAGCAGAGTACGTTCGTGAGCACGTGCGTGTAAAATGAGTACGATATCGCAGCAGCATCGCTGGAGTTGAGATCTGGTGTGTCGCAGGCGCACCGCTGTGGTTGAGATTAGGTATGTATGTGTCTGCCTCCCTCAGCTTCTTTGCAAACAGCAGCGGTAATTCTTCAGCACGTGCAGGTCCCCTCTGTGAGCGTTCGCAAAATGCGGCGGAATTGCTGTAAGTTCGGCAGTTTCGCGCGCGCGAAAAAATGC